GGAAATAGGATTTTTAGGGGGGAAATGGAAATTTATACTATCAATATAAAGAACACAATTAGTGTACTCATGAGTGAGTTGCCAATTTGTCTTGTGATTTTCAAAGTTTTTCATGTCAATAAGAATTCATAACTTTCTTATTCCGATTTTTTTTTATTCCGTTATCCGATTTTGCTCAAACTTTTTATGATTGGTTTGTCTGCTTTTTCTGCTTCTAATGAAAAAAATTATATTTGGAGTGGACATGCCCTTTAAACAAACAATATCTTTTTGTTGGGTTTTCCAGCAGTGCAAATGGCAGTCCTCCAAATCGATGATTTTTCAAAATGGCGTTTTGGGATGTGCGAAGGGATGGATTATATTTTACAAGAACGTATGTACAAAGCAATACTACTGCGTTGGTCCCAATCTGGAAAGGCATTTGATTGAATTTATGTGAGAATAGATAGAGCAGGTCAGGCAGTGCTCAGGCTGGAGCAGATCCGAAATAAATGTAAGTTAGAGAGAAAGGAGAGAGAAAGAGAAACTAACATTATAGTAACATACATGTATAGACTTCTTGCTTGAGGATGAGAGAAAGAATTACAAAGAGAGAGAGATAGATAGGGTGTTTGAATTCTGTGTAAAAAAAAAAGTATTATATATTTTTATTTCCAGCATTACTGTAATCTGTGAACTGCATATGTGATGGTACAGTGTAGGCAAATATTAAAAGTAGATTACCATTTTTTTTCAATAGGGGACGGGGTCCTTTATAAGTATTTCACCTTTTCAAATTATTTACATTTTTATCAAGATGCCTACCTGAATTTTAGTCTCTTAATCTTTTCTCAAATCCTTTCTCCCATTTCAAACCATTCTCTCATCCATACCTCATTCACCTGTACCAACATCTCTTGCATTCCTCCATGTTCCCTTTTGCAATACCATCCTCCAACAATGTACACATCACATTCTCCAATTAGTCTGCAAGCACAGACTGATCAGACTCTATTTAACACTTTAATAGAACATAAACTCCACAAAGCCTTGAGCCTTGCCTAACTGCATCAGCATGTACCTATAATTTCTGGCTGTTTCAAGAGCAGCTATAGAACAGTTCCTACAGTACAGATGCCAGTCGACCGTTCAGTTCAGTGTCGACAACTCAACATAGTCTCACAATTCAGACAAAATTTGTTTTAGTTTTTGCTTGAACGAGCATTACTCATCCCTCTCCTAGTCTGCACTCTGCATGCACCAATTTGATGCTTTACTTTGATTCCTAAAGCCTTTGACAGAGCCTATCTATGTCGGTCTCTGACTGTGTCTGTCTGGAGCAGCTACAGTACAGAGCCTATGGTGGGCAATAGACCATGCAGTCTATGTAGTAGTCTCAATATCTCAAAGTTCGGACACTCTGTGAGGCATTACGACCGACAAGGCTTTGTGCGGGCCTGCAAGCTGTACTCCAATGAGCATTTTCACATCCATCCTCAGGGAATTCATCCTGTAATATTGATCTTGGGCTTGCCTTTGGGTGTTGCTATGGACGGTTATTGACTCTTTGACCTCTAAAGGCTTTCAGAAGCTTGCCCCTGTGTGTACTTCTGGGTTTCTTTCTTGGTATAAGTTTTCATAATGTTGACTTGAGATTGGAGATGGACATCCTTCAACTGCTATTGAACTTGAGGGATGTTTGTTCATCACGAAGAAGAAGAAGAATATTGACCATTGTGCAGTGATTTAATAGGTGTTGACTCTTGCATCCGTCATCAGAGAACAAATGTTCTCCAGCATTTTAGAAGTAGGGTACAGTAGGTACCCGGCCGGCGCGGTTCACTTCCCACCAGGTAGCATTTATCTTAAACTTCAGTCTTTGAATTTTTTGAGCTGTATTACATGTAGCATTGTGCATGGGATAATTCAACTGTTGAGTGAGTTTAATTGTGTGTCTAATTTGCTTGATTCATAAGGCTATTTGATTTCAAAATTTAAAATTCTATGAAAATGTATATTTTAAAGTCATGAGCATATTTTATTGTATAGTGTCATTTATCAGGTCTGCAACTGAAATTTCAGAGGGTAAATGAACTAGATTGTTTGCATTGAAGCATTAATTGATTATTATTGTTAATCAATCAGTAATGGATTGAAAAGTGACACTCATCAACATTTTAAAGGGAATTCTTAAAATCTACTCTAAATTGATTGTCTTCTGTTTCATAGAATTAAAAATTCTGTTCAAGTTTTGCCCAAAGAAAATGAAAGAAAATGAAAGAAAGGAATTCACTTGTTCTTGCAAAGTTTAGAAGAACATTTGATATCCATTACAGCAGCAAGTTACATGTACAAAGAATATATACTCATACATGTACATACTTGTAAGTACATTGTAGCTAGCAAAAGAATAAATTTTTAAAAAACAAAGGATTGTAATGGCTGGTGACTTAAAGATGAAGTTGAGTTCTGGTCATGCGATTGCATTGTGAAAGAAACGGTGTGGAATCGATCATAGGGTGATCATCTAGCATATAAGAATTTGTGTGTATTGCAAGGTTCTGGAATCATCAAAATGATAAGAAATTTGGCCAAGTCTTGGTAAAGTTACAAACACTGTACACAGAAAGATGTATATGGGACTACACGAACACGTGGCATAAAAATCCTACCCGGAGTTTTACGATGTTACATGAAATATTTAGAATGTGAAGGCATTTGAAGAGCCATGCTTTTCAGAGAACATGTCTTATCTGATGTTCTTCCACACTTGCATAATAAGAATGATAACGCTCACAAATTATTTTCACCTCTTCCCAGAACTCAACCTTCTCTTTAATAGCGCTTGGACAAGACATACACTGTACATGATGACATGGGCTTGGATACTGTGTATAGTGATTTTTTTTTACTTGCATTAGAGCTGGGTCTTGAGTCATCGCATGCTGTGTAGTGTAAATGATTGTAGTGCCATTAGCAATTCAGCATGCATCCATTGCTCGTACAAATGCAGTATATGCTCATGCTTTATTTCATGCATGCCTGCACAATTTTTTTCTCGAGGATGAATTTGTTCTTTTGCAAAATTTGACGCCTGAAAGCCTTCTTTCATCTGCTCCAAAGAGCTTATTTTCTCAGTAGGCAGGTCCTCATCAACTCAAGGTAACCAAATAACCTGCTATTTTAACTATTAATCATCCAGCTAATTTGCGTCTTCGTCAGCCCCCAGTTGCAATTAGCGGGATATTTGGTCTAGATAATCATCCCAAGATATCTTGGACTAGTTTGCAAAATATCCCGCTATTTGTCCGGTGCGTCTTCACCAGCCCGATCGAAGACTCGCATTATGCATGGAAGCTGAGCAAAATATCTCGAGCTCAAGTTTCGAGCTGATGAATAGGCGATTTGTAACTTTGGGCTTATTTCCCTAATCACCCCAAATCAGAAAAAGCGGGGCATTTGGCAATCTCAAGCTGATGAAGACATACCTATTTACATTGACATACATGTACGTCATCCATTTCCCTCTGGGTGACAATATGAGATGCAAAAACATAACATGTTCAAACCATCTACTGCACCAAAAATTTTAATGTTTTCTGCCCCCACGAAACATCAGCATTTTTAGTTGTAGCCAAGGAAACATGTCAATGGCCCTTTTGGAATGTAGTGGTGATCACTAAAAAGGTGCTAAGAGACTTATTATTCAATATTTACACCTTTAACAATTTACACATCATAAGCATTTGCTGAGTCAACAATCAGTGCAACAAAATAACTCCACTTTAAAGGTGTGAAGCTCTTGTAAAGAGATTACATTCTAAAAAGAATCTATGATGAATACTTCCATAAAATCCCTCTATAACATGGTTATCTTTGGTTTAAGACTATTAAGTTTGTGTGCGTGTCAATATTTTTTGTATTCATAACACAGCAATACTGATTGTGCGATTCATATTCAGGTGACAGCATCATGAATTATTAGGTAGCAAAATGAAGTTTCATTGTTGTTTAAACACTTGCCTGGAGATAGGAAGGTCATGGGTTCAAGTCCTGGGACCCCCAAAACAGTGACAAATCTGCTTATAACCAATCAGAAGCAAGGATTTCAGTAGCTTATAACAAAAACTGTCATTTGTCACTAATGACAAGTTTTGTGAAACAGGGCTCTGGTGCAGGCAGCACAATGTCCTTTGGCAAGTCATTAATCTACATTTGCCACTCTCTACCCAGGTGGCTATTAATGCCCACCAAGAGAAAAAAATGTTTGAATATTAACTTGACTTTGGTCCATGTTACACCGGGCATGGTGGCTCAATGGTTAGAGCGCCCACCTCATGAACGGGAGGTCATCGGTTCGAACCCCGGCCGAGTCATACCAAAGACTTATACTGTAACTATGGGACCTTCTGCCTTCTAGCTAGGCGCTCAGCATTATTAGATTGGAGAATGGTAGTAGTAACATATTATGTTATGCAGGGCCCGCTGGAAGAGGAGTTTCATTACTGAAGTGGCTACCCTGGGTAAATAAAACGTTATTATTATTATTATTATAAATATCCATGAAAGAGCTTTACAGGGGGTTTGTAGATTTTCTACGAACGAAACAATGTTATTGTTAATAAAAGAAAATTAAACTTGTTCTGTCCACCAGTGATAATAGGCGCTCGTGCTGACGCCAGAGTCGGTGTCTGTCTCAATCACGCGATTAGTATACTTGCCTTAAAGCCTGACGCATATCAGAAGGGCTAGTAAGAACATGACATGATGAAAGGACTTAAACATTCTTTTTTTCTTCTTAATAAATACACACAATGTAGGGATAGATAAAGCTCTATTAACATTTTAGTTCCTTTTCTCTTCTTTGTTCACCTTTGCAGGATCATTGGTTTGCCCATCAAGAAAGAATACACCCCTCCAGTAAGACCAACCCAAGACTTGGTATACTCCATCCTCATGAACAGAGCAGGCTTTCAACAGAAGGATCATTCCACTTATCACATCTAGAGGGGGACTCCGATGAAATGGAATATTCTTCTGGCTCTGATCATATTCTCCCAGGTGGGTCTTACTATTCATTAAAAACCTGTTAATGATGATTTATATTTATGTTCAGGTATTATCAGCAGATAAAAAAAATCATAGAGTACTGTAAATGTACAAATGTAGTTTATACAGATGAGGTCACTGACAGGTGGCTATCTCATTAACTCAGCTCTCGACTAACATAAGCAAAAGAGGATCATGGGGGACCAACAGTCACCGATTGAGGAAGTTTTCTATACAGAGGGAGCAAGTAGCTACAAGTAGGACAGTGGGGCTTTAAGTGTTATGTTTTATAATAGACTTAAGGCTCTTCTCATCCCCAAATGACAATATGTTCATCATCTAAGTAAATTTATGGTGATAAAGGTGACAAAAATGTGATGAAAATTTTAACATGTTTTATTCATTATTCATGAATCATGCTTAAAATGCAGATAACGCATGTACATGTACATGACAGGATTTCTCTCCCATCATGGTAAAAACCCAATAAATAGTAAATTTATGATGATATTGTTCAATGATCGCATTTAAAGGACATGCTTTCTTTCGCAGTCACTGCATTTACCATCGAATGTATGATATTTCTATTAAATTATTCTGATTTATGATACACACATTTATCAAATTGCAATCGTGTCCCAATCAATTTTAAATTGATGCAAAAAGTACACTATTAAAGCTCTGTGTGACACAGCATCCGTTTGTATGTAGTCTATTACCAGTTCTTTGAGTAAACTGACAAAAATGCCGATCTCATGTAAAGCATCGAATGGGGGGCCATGCTTCAATAGGCCAGTCCTCATCAGCTTGAGATTGCCAAATCCTGCTATTTGAACTATCCTGATCGCAAATATCTCCCGGTAGTTAATTTTCATCTTCATCAGCCTGCAGTTGCAATTAGCGGGATATTTGGTCGAGATAATTATCCCAAGCCTCTTGGGCTAGTTTGCAAAATAACCCACAATTTGTCCGGTGCCTCTTCACCAGCCCGAAGACTTGCACTATGCGCGAAACGTTGAGCAAAATATCTCAAGCTAATTTCTCGAGCTCGAGTTTCAAGTTTCGAGGTCAAGTCTCGAGCTGATGAAGAAGTGATTTGTAACTTCCGGATCATTTCCGTAATCAGAAATAGCAGGCTATCTGGCAATCTCGAGCTGATGAGAACAGGCCTATAGCTTGTTCAAATATTGATATGGCAGAGTAGACACAGGAGACCTCAAAGTAAATAAGGTAATAATATTGATGACATGCGGTGATTGTCCTTGATGATTGATAGAAGTGCTGACTGGTGGTCCGTTCAGACCAGAAGAAATTATATATGAAAAACGTATAAAGAAACTTCGTATGTAACAGAATCTTGTACAGTGAAAGGAGCATACAGACTAGAAAAACATGTTGTATTGTTAAGAAACCAGTATTGAAGAGGTAGGTGGACATGACAGCTTGTCAATCAGCAGTCCTTGCTCAAAATAAGCCAAACCATACGTTTTGATACGTGTGAAACAACATTCAGGCTACAACCGAACCCTGATGTTCTATCAAAACGATGCTCGAACATGCATTTTGATATATGACGTTTCATTATATGACATTTTGGTACATACTGTACAATGTATGTACATGTATATGGTGTTCAATACGTTTTTTGTATCTAGCTATACAATAATTTTCAGTGGTCTGAATGGAGGAGGGATGAGTTTTAATATGTATAAAAATAGAATGCAAACATTTGAGCTCTCTTGAGAGGTCTGCTATTTTTTCTTTACATACATGTACATGTACAGTGTCGAGTTCAAATTCTGGTTCATAAATTTGCAAAGAGTAAAATAATGTACTCTGTATACATACATTAAAGCCCATCTGTACTACATGTAGTTCAGCAAGGAGGGATTAGACCTCCCAGCAAGGTCACTGACAGGTGGTTATCTCATCAACTCAGCTCTCAATTAACATAAGAAAAAGAGGATCATGGGGGACCATGGGGGGCCAATGGGCACCACTTAATCCAGTGCAAAAACATAAGGGGGTATGAAGTATAATTTTTTCAAAGACAACATTGAAAACCAGGGCAGAAGTCCACCATGACTAAGAACCTTACACAGTTTTTAGTAGATGCAAAATAAAGTAATGATTCTGATTGATTCTTATCCCTGTATTTAGAGTTCAGTTATAGTAATGAAATCAGAGTAATTTAACTGTCACAAATGTATGAATTTGAACATTACAATAATATCTTTATCAGCATGAGCGATGGAACCTACTCATAGTATAGTAAAACTACGCATTTCAATTTTTTTCTGGGATTTTTAGATTTTCATATAATTTCTCTTTATGCGTTGCAGTACAAAGGACAAGTGAGGTTTACCTCTCCGGACCTCGGTTTACTGACACCAGTCCTGATGCTCGTACAAGATCAAGGAGAACCAACGGTATCGGTCACAGGAACCCTTCTTCCAAACATGATGGTTTGTCATGGCAACAGTATAAGGTGCTTGCTACCAGAAGGAAAGAAGCCCAAAGTCACACTGGGAGGATGGATGTAGAAGGGATGAATGGGAGGAGTTTTGCCTCTTCTGAGAACCCGTTCAGAACTTCTGCTGACATCCACCGCCATGAATTTGAAGGTCGTCATGAACCTGATGATCATCAAGAAAGATTCCTTCTTGATGGGTTGACTGGACATCACAGTCCTTCCCCACTCTCACGTTCAGCATTGGACACATTCCATAGCCAGGCAGATCCCAGTGGAGATGACATGAAACATAGTCGCGATGCAAGAATGTCCACACTTGTGAATGGCCACAGTGAATTTGATCCAGTAATGAATGACTTTGAAGACTGTGAGTTTGAGCAGGAATACATGCATGATGGAAGGCTCCAAAGGCCTCATTCATCCGGAACAAAGAGACGTCATCCTTCACCATCCTTCTGCCAGATTGAAGAAGGCAATGCTAGGTTAGATCTTGGGGAATTTGTGCCTCCAGGACCTACAGTAGATGGGCACACTTCAGACAGCCAAACAGCATCCATATACAGTATTTCAGAATTCCAAAGAGCAGAATCCCATAGAGTTTCAAAGAGAACAAACATTCAAAGACAGCAAGGTCAAAGGCAGGTTGCTAACAGTATTATTTCCAGAACAAATTCAAGTGATTCCGATGTTGATTTGAGCGAACATAGAAAATTAAATGCTCACAGCCAAAATCATGAGCAGGTACAGTCTATGCTTCCAGCAGTATTGGAACAAAAACAAAGTAGTGCTCACCTGACAATTCAAAGTCTTCCGCCGTCAAGTTCATCAGCATTGGATAGGACAGCCTCTGGCAACACTTCATCCCTTGACCTGAAGCGACCAAGAAGGAGAAAGCTGGAAACTGAGTTTTCAAACTCGCAGACATCCATGAGTGAAGCAATTAAAACAAGTCAGTTTGCAGAAGGTGATGCAAAGCCTTTAAGATTAAGTGGCAGAACAGACCTGAATGTCCAACCTGATTTCCTAAGAGATGGAACGGTGCATGATCCTGTGCTTCCTTCTCTATTATCGTCAGACTTTATGGGTACATCTGTCCAGGAAGACCGTAGGATTTCCTCTAGGCAGCTTCAGGAACCTGACTACCTGTCGATGCATCAGCAAGAGGGTCACAACAGTCAGCCTAACCAAAGTGAAACCGGAAGTAAGGGCTCATTTCATGGAACTCCTGAATCGTCTGGAAACTTCAGAAGTCTTTTCGTTTCTCCATCATATACACATGTGGTTCATCCTCAAAGGAGTGCACCAGATCTACTGAAGTCTTCCAGACCAATGAACTGTGCATATCCTGATGGATTTGATCCAGTGCAGGATCTTCTGACGTTCTCAACAACACAATCAACAACCAAAGGACCAACAAATGCCAAAGCAGCTTTGCATTCTATGAGAAGTCGTGAGCCAAGTGGTGTGAGAACAATCAATGATTATTTATTGACTACCTCAAAAGGTTTATCGTCGCAATATTCATCAGCATTGTCTTCATATTCGGTACAATCACCAGAAGTTCTTGATAAGCTGCCATTGCAGAAAACCTCTGCTCTGGAAGGACACCTTGCTCAGCATTATACAAATACAGGTTTCTCAAGTACAAATCATCAGTTAGAAAGATATGAGAATGTACCCAGTTCTTTGAACCAAAGCGCACATAGATTAACACATTCCAATCACTCAATACTTGATCACCAGTCTAGCATTAAGACTACTGCAGATGGTGATGCTCCACAATCCTTTAAAAGAGACTGGTACCAACTCTCTGGATCACACAGTACATCTTTTCAGCATCAGGATCTTCAGGATTTCCTCCCAGAAGGGGATAAATTACCATTCTCCTTGCAAGAGAGAAGGATGGAGCTTCAAAGAGCCATGAACTATCATTTAGAGGAGGAACCACACCAGGATCTCTATGCTGTAAGTAGTTGCGTCTTGACATATATTTTGTTTATGCTAGTCTCAGTCTTGTAAACATGACTTCCAAAAATATTCATTAGGATTGTTAGCGATCAGGAAAGTTAGATTGCTCAAGTTTGTAGAGTAATTGGGCTGTACATAGCGTTTTAGTAGGTATATGAACCCAGGTCGTATTACTAAATTCTTTCTCTCCTATTATGAAAATGCATTTATCAACTGATATTGTTCTAAGATATTGAATTGATGTTGCAATAATATCCCCCTCAGACTTTACAAATATTCCTTGTTCTTTATGTACTACAAGCGTCATAACCCAATCACACTGTTATTTATTATTATTATCATCATCGTCGTAGTTGTCGTCATCATCATCATCATCATCGTCACCATACTTATCACTATTGTTATTGTTGATATTTGATTTGCAGGATACATCAAGTCATGGTGATAAGAGGCTGAGATGCTCTGCGGATTCCGCTTCAAAGATAAGGTTTGTTTATAGATTCCTTTAAATTACCAACATTCATAGACTGTTGTAATTTATGTTCCAGTGCTTTTGGTTTTCTTCATTTTTGATAAGCCTCAATGTAATTCTAACATGACATGGTAAACAGCTGCAAAATTGTAAAATTAAAATGAATAAAGTATGTGCTGCAATTAATTCCATATTGATGTAGGCAGTTCAATGTTCCGGTAAATCTAGGCTAATTGATAGTGTGGTATTTTATCTACACAGATCCAACTTATTGTGAGACATTGAGACACAGAAATGTCATTCAGGAGACCTCCCCCCCCCCTCCCCTGGCACAGTAATTAATCAAAGCAAAGATTACCCTGTCGAGCGTGAATGCAGCCCCTGCCTTTGCATGTTGTCTTGTCAGATTTTGATGAGAGATGTGTGTACATGGAATATGTATGTACATTTATGCATGAGAGCATCCTAAAGACAGTTGTGATTGGATTGTATGGTTGATTAGCCTGGCATTCTAGCCTTCCAGGGTGACATATGTTAGTCTTGTGTGTTCTGAGATCTCACTAACCGGTAGACATGAAGGTGTACAGTACATGAAGGTGCGTGTGTGTGTGTGTGTGTTGGTGAGAGAAAGAGAGAGGGGGGTTGGGTTAGAGAGAGATAGAGAGAGAGAGAGAGAGAGGGGGGGGGAGAGAAGAGAGAGAGGGGGGAGAGAAGAGAGAGAGAGAGAGAGAGAGAGAGAGGGGAGAGAAGAGAGAGAGAGAGGGAGAGGATGAGAAAGAATGAGAGAAAGAGAATGAGAGAGAGAATGAGAGATAAAGAGAAGAGAGAGAAGGAGAGATAAAGAGAGAGGAGAGAGAATGAGAGAAAGCAAAGTGAAGAATGGATAATGGAATAAGCAACGGAAGATAATGTTGAAGTAAATTAGAGCAGAATAAGTTGGGGAGAGAGGGGAAAAAAGAGTATGAGCAAGAGAGAGAAAGGGGAATGGGGGGTGGGGGAGATGTTATGAGTAGGAAAAATGTGAGACAGGCAAAATGATAGAAATATGGAGAGAGACAGTAGTAGAGAAAGAGACTAGACTAAGAGAGTAGGATAGAGAAATAGAGGGAAAGGAGATAGAGGGGGAGGGAAGGAAGGAGAAAGAAAGAGGGGAGATAAATGGTAAGGAGGGCAGAGACCGTGTTATGATATCAATGTAAGGAAGACATACATGACAGAACAAGATAAAAATAAAATTGAGAGTATGAATAGTGAATGTTGAATCAACGGTGGAAGTTATGAATTCACCAAATAGCAAAGTTTTGCAATTATCACATATTCATCACTGATTTTTACTCCCAAATTTATAATAAATTTATGTAATGATAATGTGTATCTCTATGTATGTGCAGAGGAAGTCTTTCAGAGATGAGTTTCTCCACCACCAGGGGCAGCCCACGTCGAGTCACCTCCATCCTGTGGGTATTCAAACTGTTAGACATACTGCACAACCATCCTGTGGAAAAACATGAGGTCCTTGTTTCACAGGTAAGTTTTTTTTTTTCCTATTATGAGTTCTGGTATGCCTGTCAGTCAAATTTTGAAGTCACTCTTCACGGGTGGATGTGGGAAGGGGAGAGGACTGACTTTCAACTTAATTTAATTTTTATCGATTCTTGAGCTGATCTTGAGTTCTGGTAATGATAGAAAACAAATGTTAACAGAATCCAACAAAACTTACACTGAATGTTCAAGTTTACAAATAAATGACATATGACAAATGATTTTTGTAGAAAAGGTATAGGGACTACTGAGTAATGAGCATAGAAAGATAAGAAAAAGTCCAGGTAAGTAAAGGCCCAACACAGCTTAACACAGGTCACTATGTGCAAATGAGAGTTGATGTTTTAATTGAAGATGATTTCCAGCAAGTTTTTGTGAGGTTGTTTTTATTTTACTGGTTCAAACAATCAATCTACTGCAGGATAAACAATCCAGAATGAAATCATAGCCATGTTCTCTCGACATACAGTGCCCATACCAGAGCTCAAGATTAGCTTTAAAGGCAACCAAATAATCTAGACGTGTCCAGTTGAGATATAACATTAGGGACTTTTAGATTTGCATGGACTGATACGTGTGACGTCCATTTAAGGCAGTGCATTAAAACGACGTCGATCGTAGCAATCCACGTTGTCGTTGTGCAAATCTAAAAGTCCCTATTATTTTTGTCTGTTGAGAGCCAGAAAGGCATTAATTCATATCTTTTGACACTTAATTAATGCCCTTCTTCCTGTCTACCAACTTTATTATTCCTAATAGCACTACCAAAGTTAATATCACTGTTCATATTAAACAGTTTTGAAAAATATGCTCCAGTTTATAAAGTACCTGATTTCATTTTTATTAATCAAAATGTAACATTGTTAACTCATTAGCAATTAGAGATTTTGTAAAAATGGCCTATTACTCAATGGAAGATCTTTCAATATTTCTCTCATTTTGACTTTTTTTTAAAGAATATGAAAAATGCGCTAGTTTTCTATATGCTGAATCCTACTAGACATGCTAAGGATTACGCACATATAACATTATAACGGTAGACCCTAGAAAGGATACTATAGCGTGTTGAAAACGGACGAAAACGGACGGGCGGTTTCGGGTGGTTTAGTTGCTATTGGGTTTATATACTTTCTTCATATTGCAACATATTTATGCAGTGGTACATTAAGGATTCTTTGACTGAAGACTGGGTTGGGGTCTTTTTGCTATCAAGTAATAAAAGGATGTACGTGTATCAAGTGCTCCTAACCCACCTCTATTATGTCAATATTTATTTTTATGACAAGAGGATGGGGAAACACTTGTATTTCTAAAATTCTATTCAAAATTTGAAGAAAAAAGATAAGGGGTGGGGGCGTGTGTTCTCAAACACTTTTATGTATTTTCCTCGGAAGGCCCCCCCCCCCTACCATCATCAACCCACTGTATTATTCAATATTTGGTTTGTGTCTGTATTTGTCAGGCCTACTGGTTTAGGAGATGGTTGAGTAAGGCCCCCCTCCCACCATCAACCCACTGTTTGATTCAGTATTTGGTTTGTGTTTGTATTTGTCAGGCCTACTGGTTTAGGAGATGGTTGAGTAAGGCCCCCCTCCCACCATCAACCCACTGTTTGATTCAGTATTTGGTTTGTGTTTGTATTTATCAGGCATACTGGTTTAGGAGATGGTTGAGTAAGGCCCCCCTCCCACCATCAACCCACTGTTTGATTCAGTATTTGGTTTGTGTTTGTATTTGTCAGGCATACTGGTTTAGGAGATGGTTGAGTAAGGCCCCCCTCCCATCATCAACCCACTGTATGATTCAGTATTTGGTTTGTGTTTGTATTTATCAGGCATACTGGTTTAGGAGATGGTTGAGTAAGGCCCCCCTCCCATCATCAACCTCTGTATGATTCAGTATTTGGTTTCTGTTTGTATTTGTCAGTCATACTGGTTTAGGAGATGGTTGAGTAAGGTGAGATTACTGAAGATGATCCGTCAAGAGGAGAAGACTAAGTGGAGAAGGTGAGTAAAGGCCACGTCAGGGGGGGGGGGGGGGGTGTTTCACAAAGATGCCAAGTTAAACTTAACTCTAAGTTGGACTATGAAATTATGGAGAGCCATTTGAAGCCTTAAAATAAAATATATTAAAAGGTGAAAAATTAAGTATTTTAGAATTTTTATAAAGTCCACATCAAGAACATGAAATCTCCTTGATAATAGAAAATATGAAGGATTTGTATCAACATTCTATGCCTTTTAAAATATCTTTCACAAAATATTTCCATACATGCTAACTGCTTTCCATCATTGTTAAGTCCAACTTAGAGATAAGTTCAATTTAGGATCTTTGTGAAACACCCCCTGACCTCACCAATAGCAGCCACTCTACCAGGAGATGGCAGGTTCCAATTCCGCTAGTTCCAAGACTTTTTTCCAAGTATAAGATGAAGCATAAGATCTTGATTTAGCGGATGCAAGGCGAAAATTTCTTTACGAGTATGTTGTTTTTGTGTTAAAAATGAATAGGAACAAAATTGTTGTAGGTCAGACCTCAATGATTTATGCTGATAAGTCAGGGCCCTGTTTCATAAAACTTGTTATCAATAACAAGTTACAAGCTACTGTTATAAGCTACTGAAATCATGGCATCTGATTGGCTGAGAGCAAACTTGATATCAATAACAAGTTACAAGCTACTGTTATAAGCTACTGAAATCATGGCATCTGATTGGCTGATAGCAAATTTGTCATGGAAATTTAACAGTTGTTACAGATAACAAATTTTATGAAACGTGCCCCAGGTCAGACCTTGCCGATAGCAGCTTCTCTACCTGATATAGCTGCCCATCAAGCAGGAGATGGCAGGTTCAAATCACAATGGTTCCAAGTCTTTTTTTCTGACTTTTTCTTGATCACAAGATTGAGCACACAATCTAAATATTAACTGGGTGCAAGCCAAAATTTTGATACAAATCGAAGTGACTCCCAGGAAGCCTAGCAATCAAAGCTAGCCTATTGTCCTAATGACGGACTGACGAATATTAATAAGTCAGAATTGGGAGGACTGAGGTATTGGCACCTGTCTGGAATGCTCTCCAGAGGAATGGAGAGCACGCTTTGAATCAGGCCTTCTCAACTGGTGGCGCACGCGCCACTTGTGGCGCTTGCGGCCAGTCGGAGTGGCGCGCGGCTGTTCCAAAGAGTCAATAAAAAATTAAAATTAAAAATTAAAGAAAGAAAAAAATTAAAAAATTATATTTAAAAATTTAAAAAATCAGTAAAATCAAAAAGTCGCAGTCGAAGTTGAGCCCAAAATGTAAGCAAGCCATTTTGTTTGTTTGATTTTCACTTGATTTTGACATTTTCCATGTTTATTGCACCAAAATAACTACATATAAATTAACTTCCAGAGTAAATTTTAGCCAGGAATTGAACTAATTAAATTATTTCACATCAATATGAAATTATGATTGATGTTTTCTGGAACAAAAAAGTGTTAAAAATGCCACATCTAGGCCTTAAAAAAGCCCTAAAATCCACTAGCTTCCGGGGGCTCTTTGCCCCTGGACCCCACCAGGTATCGGCTCGGTCGCTCCGCTCCCTCGCAACACAGTCACCAAACATACAGGTTGGCACTTCAACCTCAATAAATATTTGTTTTGGCACTTCTAATAAACTAGTTGAGAAGGCCTGCTCTAGATGTTGGAATAGCAATTGACTCCAGTTCAGTGACAGGCCTATTCAAATGGTTTCACTAGCGCTTGAAAACATAGTATGGAGGACTATACAAATGTGACTACCGGTATTGATATTATTCAATTCAGTCAATTCAATTATTTCAATTCAATTATTATTTATAAATGTTCCGACCTGCAGAGCTGTCATCTACCACAATATCTCCGTCCAGCAGAAGTGCCTAAGGCAGTGGATGGCTGCAGTGCAGTCAAGGAGCAAGTCAGCTAGACTCCTTTACCAGCACCGTCTTCTACACAAAGGACTCGGTGCATTCAGGTTTGCTGTAATGAGCAGTAAAGTCCAGGCGTTACAGCTGGAGACAAGGCTAAAGATCACGACCCTTGCCAAGTATTTCAACAAGGTAAGAATTCAAATGAGATTTTAGGTTAGAACTACGACACATTGCTCTGACAATAATTGCTTCCGGTACTCAATGAGTTCTGTATACTATGAACGTGTTGAATACTTAATTTTCTTATTCCCATTGGTTTGATGCAGGAATCAGCTGGTTTTGTAGGCAATTGGTTTAACTAATTTCCTTACTTCAAGGGAGGGAGAGAGGAGAAGGAAAAAGAGAGAGAGAGAAAAGGGAAAATAAAGAGAGAGAGAGAGAGAGAGGTGGGAGATAGAAAGAGAGAGCAGAGAGTGAGAGAGGGGTAGAAATAGAGGAGAGAAAGAGAGAGATAGAAAGAGAGAGCAGAGAGTGAGAGAGGGAGAGAGGAATAGAAATAGAGGAGAGAGAGAGAGAGAGAGAGAGAAAGAGAAGAGAATGAGATTGAGAGAGACAGATATAGGAGGCAGATGGAGGGAAGATAGTACAAATAAATCCTTTGTTTATTAAAAGCATCAAATCATAACATTCACTATCATTTCGTTTTACCTAGTGGAGTACCCTTACACAGCTGCGCAAAGAGAAGGAAGCCATCTTGGAGCAAATAGCCTATCAGCACGTCACTGTCAGAGCATTCAGTGCCTGGAAAGAAGGCTACCATGCACAGCAGAGAATGGGCATCGCAGATCTCCATTACAAGTGAGTTTTCTTTAAACTTCCTCTCTCCACTTATTAAAAAAAAAATGGACATTCAATTTTGTTAAAGGTAGTGTAGTCTGACAAGACTAGGTGTCTTTCCCGAAGCCTGACTCAGGGCCAATTGGGTATAATACGACTACAGACGACGCGACCACAGCAATCACGTGCGTGCAACATATGCGAAACCGAAGCATGAGGAGAACTTCAGTCTGTTTCGCGAACGCTGACCATGTAGAGATTAAGTCCCAAAAGGAGACATAGATGGCGTTAACCAGTATTTGCCAAGCTACACTCCCTTTAACAGTTTTATGTGAGCTCTTTTCCCTACATCTCCTCAATAATTTTTAGAAAATGTATGTTTAAGTTCTTTGAGTGAAAATTAATTCTGAATTAATTCACTACCCATAAATATCTTCTTTTTCAAACTACTTACATGTACCTGCATAAAAGTATAATAAAATACATGAATACATACATGTAATACTATGTCAGTTGATCCTTAAATTTATTAGAAAAATTACAAATAATTAGTCAATAACGACATCATAACGCAAAATAAATACAAATATTTTGTAAATGTGAAAAAAGAAAAAAGTCTATGTAACATGACCCATGTAGTTTTGTACTGAACTCTCTACATCTACCAAACTGCCATATTTCCAACTATTATTCGGAGTATGAACACCGGTGTTCTTTAATCATATCAAGTTTTCTTGAACGATTTATTAATTTCATCTTTCTTTCAATATTGCTTGATTCAGAGTGGGTCTCTTGTCAAGGTGCATAGAAAGCTGGAAGACGTATCTTGCTCATCGGAGGAGGAAGTTTTACCAGACGGAGGTAGCGAGGGTCTACCATGAGGACAGTCTGGTCAAGAGAGCCTGGGTAACCATGGCAACCATCTGTGGTGAGAGACAAAAGGCCAGGAGACAATATAGGTTAGTCGATGTACCCTCCCAAAGATGTTCATTCTGTCAAACTCTTTATACCGGTATGCCTCACAAATACAGTAATCTCCCTGTGCCGCGTTGAGTTAGCTATGAGATGAATATACCAAAAGGCTTCAAGATCATTTAACTATTTCCTGTGCGAGATTAATCTATACCGGTGTTAAAAGCTTTGTCATGGAGCCATTTCAAGTCCGTAAATTTATAATTCTGCAAACTCATTGTGTTGCACAAAGCAATCCTTTCATCAATGGATGCCTACCGGTATATTTCTGTGTGGCAAACAAGCTACAGTGCAGACAGGCAAAGAAAGCAACCAATGTGTTTATAGCAGAAAAGGAAATTGGAATAAAACGTGTTGCATGTGGTCTCATAATGCTGCGTTTCATTATACAATCAAACCTGTCTATAGCGACCACCCAAGGGAAACACAAAAAGTGGCCTTAATAAAGTGGTCTTTGTAGACAGGTTCCTTTAGTATATGATTCCAGGGCCCTCAGGGAAAACAGTATGAATACTGATGAGGCTACCCTGGGTAAACAAGACACATTATTATTATTATTATTATTATTATAAACCATTTTCAAGGGAAACAACAAATGTGGCCTTTGTAGACAGGTGGTCTTTGTGGTCACTAAAGCAGATTTGACTGTATCATGTTTTCAGGCGGTCCATGCTGCGCAGGTCCTGGAGGGCATGTAGGAGTGGCATACAGATCATCAAGATGGAGAATCTTCATGACAATGCCAAGGCTGTGGTCTTCAGGGAGCGAGCAATCCTCCAGAGGTTCTTTGCCGACTGGAAGGAGAGAGCCAATGTCTCCATGGTGACACACAGGAGGGAGAAATCACAACTCAGGTATGATAACACTCATACCATCTTCATATTAAAGGGATTGTCTAACAATGTTAAATCTGAGATGCACAGCCCTACATGATATCAGTGTCTTTGATATGGTGTTATATTGAAGCCCTAAAAAAATTGCGCTTCAAAATGATCAAGAAGTGCATCAAAAAAGTAAAAACTTTTGAGTGACCGGTTTTACCATACTCCTTTTTCCCCAATAGTCTGCAAATATTTTATTTTGATTGTCAATCATAAATATCTTGATAATCAGACAGGTGATTGGCTTTTAAAAGTCATGGGGTACCTGACTGACCTAAAGGTTTATAATTATCATTGCAGCATGAGCTAAATCAAGGATTTTTTTAAAGGATCTAAAACAAAGTTACAATATCCCTATAAAGACAATTGTCGATTTTAACGAGCAAAATAATGCAAAGATATTAACTGCTTTGAGGGGCACTGTTAAAACTCTATTGCCCAAGTTGATCTCGAAATGCAGTCTCAATGATCACAGAGAAACTACAGTTTTAACCGTGACCCAAAAAATGAACAGTCAATATTTTTGTGTGTGTCATAGAAGTTTAATATGTTTACTAACTGAGACCATCCTGATCATTGTTCAGCAAATAGTGATGCAATTTTACTTTAGGAAAAATAGTAGTAATGATTGACTTTGTAAGCTAAAATAAGTCCAAAGAAGTCCTAAAGTCATTAAAAAAAACCTGGATTTTGTGTTTACTTTCTCCCTAGTCAAGCCTTTGAACTTTGGAAACTGAAGCATCACAGGAGGCAGGTGCTCTATATGATCCTGGACTCCAAGGCTCGCAAGACTCGGAGGAAGAGGGCATTCTTAGCATGGAGGGAGCACACGCAGCGGTGCGCAGAGGCGCGACGGAAAGGGGTTAGGTTGATTGAAAGGGTGCACATGGGGGTCGTGATGTCCGCGTGGCAGTCTTGGACAAGCATTCGAATATGTCATAGGTATGTTCACATGATATGTTTTATTCCTAGCATGAAACAGAGAATCTTTAGCCTTATGCACTAATAACGCAGCACGCTTCTCATCTGCCCTTTAAACAAAAATGGCATATTAAGCATAGTGTGCTCTGCATTTCTGTATCTCACAACGCAGAGAAAAGTATGAACACTCAGGGGGTCCTGTTGTGCACAGCTGCTTCCATAGCGTAATGAGAGAGGTAGTTGCGGCACACGCATCTACATGTACATGTGCGTGTATGTGAGATGGGTCATAGGTTAAATCATGGAGCTCCAAATAGTTCTGTTCGATGAATTTGACTGTTGCTTAAAGTAAGCCCCCCCCCCCCCCCAAAAAAAAAAAAAAATTAATTGCCCTTTGCGACTGACCCAAAATTTTGGAAGTCTACGGTCGGCTTTTAAAAAAAGTGCAATACAACATCTTCTTTTTTTTTAGGCCTAATGTTAAACCACTTTGATTGTTACAACAGGCAAACTGTGCAAAGACACCTGGCCGTCCGCGATGCCAGGACAGTGGTCAGTGCCTTCCGTGGGTGGAAACTCTGTTGGCTGAGGGAGAGGGCGCTACATCAAGGTCTGGAGAGATGGTCGGAGCGATGCCTGAAGAGGGCAGCACAGCGATGGAAACACCACGTCGTCAAACGCAGGCAATGGGACCAGGCTGAGGAGCTAGTTAAACAGTCGGAGAATGCTTGTCTGAGAAGTAAGTCTTGATCTTTGAAGAGGATATATGTGGGAGTGTCGTGGCTGAGTGGTTTAAGGCGCTTGACTTGAGATGCGAAGGTCGAGGGTTCAAATCCTGACACGGCACTAATATCCTTTGGCAAGATATTAACCTGCACTTGCTACTCTCCACCCAGGTGTTAAATGGGTACCAGATGCGACCGTCATTGTTGGTCAAACATTTTTGAGCGTCAAGTAACACCTGTCTGGAATACTCCCCAGGGAGTCGAGCTTGAGCACACAATGTGTGCGGGCAAGCATTGAATCCAATGACCGGGGTAATAGTATATCTGTAAAGTGCTTAGAGACATCATAAATGTATTAAGCGCTATATAAAGGCAGAATATTATTATTATTATTATTATTATGCTGGCAAAAGAGGGAATGGGAGCAGATTCCATATTGTTTGATTGACAGAACTAACAATTTCATTATAGCGAAAGTGGTGCAGTGTGACCACTTTTATTGTTATCATTATCAGTACATTTTATATTCATATGCTTCAGTCGTATAGTTATTGGTGAGGTTTGGCCCCCTGGCTGCTTACATGTACTTTAAACTGTCATAGCACCATATTTGTATTATGTATCCATTGAGGGTAGTCATGCTATCAAGCTTTGCTTACTTTGTCAACCCTTCTGTTTGATGTTTTTGATTAGTTACAGCTAGCCTTAATTTATTCTACATATATTCTTTTGTCATATGTAAATTTGCAATGTTTTGTTTGTTATATATTTGTAAAAGTACAAAAGAAAAAGAAAATCAAACAGAAATAAATAAATCAAGTCAAATCTCAAGCAAAAATCTGACATCAATCAAAGGATTTATTACAATTATTCCTTTTAGGGTCATTCTCAAAGTGGGTCAAAGCCAAAGCTCAATCTGACCATGAGAGACAGAGGGCAGCAGACATGCACTCTCTCTTACTCCACAGTCAGCTACACCGAACTTTCCTTGCTTGGAGGCTGGAGATGATGATGACGAGAGCCGTCGGACCGTTGACTGAAAGGAGAGAGAAACGGTGTCTGGCCAAGTAAGTCCTTACATTCGGGCTAGGGGGTGTTTCACAAAGATCCTGAGTTGAACTTCTGTCTAAGTTGGACTTAAACAATTATGGAAAGTCGTTAACATCTATGAAAATATTTTGTACAAGTTATTTAAGAGACATAAAATGTTGATTCAAATCATTCATACTACTTTTTATCATGGAGCTTTCATGTTCCTGATGTGAAATTAATAAAAAGCTTTTGAATATATTTTTTTTAACATTACAAATGGCTCTCCATAATTTTTAAGTCCAACTTAGAGTTAAGTTCGAATTAGGATCTTTGTGAAACACCCCCCTGGTTCATAAATAATAATTTTATACCACAGTATGATATAACACTTGTAGTTATAACAAAAAGTTATTAAAAAACATTCTCCACTTTATCTCTAGCAACTATTAGGCGTAAAAAACAGAAGATGTTGTATTGCCCTTTGCGACCCAAAAGTCTTAAAATCTACGGTCGGATTTTGAATAATTTTGTTTTTTAATCTGTTAATGAAAAAATAAGTATTTTGTTTGTTTAAATGGGATATAAATGCATAAAATCATAAAATTATTCCCAATTCTCATTCGCCTTCTGCCCTAGTTTTCAAAATCCATGCAGGGGCGGTGATTTCTTTTCATGACAGGGGGGGGCAAAATGTGAAATTTTCTACAATATTTACTTGTACATTTTGGAGAATATTATTTGAGGGAGCGTAACAAAATTGAGGGGGGAAGATGTGTCCTGGTAAATCGTTCAAGTAATCTACTTTTAATGTAAATATCACTCATGATTCACATATTACATGTGCAGTTCATGAAACATGCACGTTAAGATTTGTTTTCTTAAGGGTTGCCCAGATATGGCGTGGTAAACTTCCACAAAAAAAAGAAGAAGTTTTTTACATGTAAATGAATGGCAACTGCATGCAACAAAGGACTTGTGCGTATTCACTGATCTCTGTTTTATAAGATAGAGGAATGTGGAGGGTATTACAATTAACATCATCTTCTTTTTAAAATGCAGCGGTTTTGCCTGGTTTTTGTATTTCAGAGCATTTGACAGCTGGAGAGATATTATCACAAGGAAGAAAATGGGACAGAACTTTGCTGAAAGGTGCAAGAACAGTATCACTGCAATAACCTTTAGATATTGGAGGTACTGTATAAATTATGGCCTACGATGTATGGTTCTCTATTGATGTGCCCAATGTAATAGTATATTAATTTGTATTTTGTATTTTAATTATGCATTCTTTGTAGCCATTCGAGTCTTGCGCATCTTTTAAAACAATTTTTATGACCTTTCGTCTTTGCATGTCAGCCCGAAAATCGCTCATTTTTGTGATTTGTGCACAAAACATATGGAAATATTACATATTGCCCCCCCCCCCCCTGGTACTAGAAAGATCCCAACTACCCCGGCCTCATTAGGGTTAAGATTACTTTTTGTTGTTGATGAAGGTTGGCATCTATGCCTCCCTCCCTGTGATGCTTATTCTCATTATGATCTCCCTCTCCTGTTAGAAACCAGACCGAGTGTCGTCTCCACGCCAAGCAGGAGCAGGACTCCCAGGAGGCCAGCCTCATCTTGGGATGCTTCCAGGCCTGGCAGAAGCTCCACCAGAGAGAGACAACCAGGAGAACGTTCGCCAAGCAACGGGAGACGGGATGCCTGAGGGAGGCGTTCACATCGTGGAAAGCACAGGCGGCAGAGGCGGAGCTGGAGAAAGAGATCCAGATGGGAAAGGAGGTATGAATCTTTGAATTCCTTTTAGGGTCATTTGCATATTTGAGATATGGCAAAGTTGACTTTGTCGCACGAAAAGTACCCCTTTACGGGACATTTTGGTAACACGCATGGTATCCCTCCGTTCTCGGAGGGGGGGGGGGGGGACTATACTATGTACAGTCAAACCTGTCTGCAGCGACCGCCCAAGGGAAACACAAAAAGTGGTCTTTGTAGACAGGTTCCTTTAGTACATGTTTCAATGAGAAACCATTTTCTAGGGAAACAAAAAATGTGCTTGTTGTATACAGGGGTCTTTGTAGACAGGTGGTCACTAAAGCAGGTTTGAGTGTATTTACTTCTTCTCAATGGGAAAAGTTCCTGCACATGCTTTTAATGATGGGATGAATTGTCCAGTTCATAGATTCTATGCAAGGTTATGATCATTATGATTTCACTTTACAGGAAATTAAAAGAAGAAACTATTTTGTGTCATGGATTTTGGTAATTCAGGTCATTTCACAATTAAATATAGTTTGTAGGAAATTTGCAATGTTAATGTCATTATTTGTTAGGCTAATACACTGATATAAAGGTGGCATGAGCTTATATGGGAATTACAATGGTGTATTTTCTTCATATTGACATTGTGTATGCATGCTACTTTAGCGAAAAAGGGTTATTTTCAGGGACGCTTTCAAGAACCAATCAATGTGAAAGAAAAAGGGTGTGGTATTTTAAAAGGGCAAGAAATTTCATGAAAAACACATGAATGTATGTGTACATGTACATCCACCTGTTTTAGGGAAAATAAGATACTTTCTTAAGTAAGAGTGTGTACTTGTCATTTTCGACTTGCATAATGATCATGCGTTGCCCCTTTAAATATGAGATAGCACTGGGGGTATTTCACAAAGACTAAGAATGACTTTAAGTTGGACTTATCTGTGGCAGGCCGTTCATGTCACTGTTTGCTCTCACCATTATGATCTTTAGAAAAAATTTCACTTCAATAATGAATTATCAAAAAATATAAACTCTGTAGATTTGTGACCATGATTTTTACATCCCTTAAGAGACCAATGCCAGTAAATGTTGAGAGCAAACAGTGGCATGAACGGCCTGCCATAGTTAAGTCCAACTTAAAGCTGATCTTAGTCTTTGTGAAACACCCCCCTGGGGTATTGTACATTGCATCTATTGGTTCTTTAGTAATAATAATAATAATAATAATATGTCTTGTTTACCCAGAGTAGCCTCATCAGTATTCATACTGTTCTTTCTGATTCAGATTCAAGTAACTGCAATGGTTTTACTTTCTGTTTTTCTTCATTTGATTGCCAAAACACAGCAGAGAAGATTTCTCCTTCAGAAGTTGTTTTTCAAGGCTTGGAGGAGAGCGAGCGGTGAAGAGGCAGAGCGGGGGAACGAGAGATGCTCCGTGATCCAAGACGGGCATGCTGCATCTACTCTCCTAGAGACGTGGAAGAGATGGAGGAGATCGTTGGAGGTTGAGCTGAAAGCAAGGTGAGGAAAAAGCTAGCTCAAATCGGCAACACAGTATTTTACTGTAAATGTTCCATTTATCCTTCGATTCAACATGTATCAGGAATTAAATTTTTTGAATGTATTGTATTGTATTTTTCATGCCTCCGCTACAAAGTAGCTGGAGTTGTACGTCTGTCTGTACGTCACGTTCTCGTGATCGCGTTATCTCAGGAACTGATTAGATTTGGGGTCACAAGGTCAAAGGTCACAGGGCTCATTATGTGTGCAAAATAGCTCTGATCGCGTTATCTCAAGAACCGATTGATGGATTGACTACTATCAAACTCAGGACATGTATGTATCTTGCAGAGCCAATGATATGATTAGATTTTAGGGTCATGAGGTCAAAGATCAAAGGGTCATACATGTACATGTATATGAAAAATAGCTTGTAATCACAATATTCTGAGAACCTGTTAATGGATTACAATCAAAGTTGTATTGTTTAAAAGGCTTTTTTTTGCTTTGTAAAATCGCTCTATGATGGAGGCATCATTTTCGACTGCGCGCAGTTGAAGATCCATCTAGTTATTATATTTATTGATTACCACAGTGTTAAAAATTATATACAGTTATTGCATAACATCAAGAACCAATAAATAGTAAAAGCTAATTTAGGTTTCACAATGGAAATGCCAATTTATAAGGGTGAATTGGAATTTGCAATCGCTTTTTTTCTTCAATATGACTGCCCTGTTAGAATTACATGAAAGTGATCAAATGCTAAAATGCGATATTATAGTGAAAATAAGGATCTTCTATTTGCACATTTGTTCTGAGAGTCAACACTTCATTATAAAAAGTTATTTTACTCAAGTGTACTAAAGGAGTTCTTGCAACTTATTTTTTCTGTCTCATCCTTGTAGATCACTTGCTGAGAATAATCAGCATCGAATGCTGGAGGAAAGCTTTCATTCATGGCACCGACACACCCAGCAAAGCATGAGTGCAGCCGTAGGAAGATTCCATGCCAGGTTGAATGAATCCTGTAGTTCTCTTCAGAGTCCAGAACTCCAGCCTGCAAGCTTTCCATCTTCACAATCACCCTCCTCCTCCTCCTCCTCCTCCTTCTCTTCTTGTTCATCATCATCGCCACCCCCTGCATTGTTATTATCGAAGCTTCAGGCTCATGGGATGCTATCTCCATGTGCATCATCTCCATCACCCCTGAGGGAGGCGTCTGTCCACCTTCAAGAGGAGTTGTATACAGAGTTCTCCCATTCTGTGATGAACGGAAGAGCTGTTGAGCCATCTGCATGGCCTGGATCTGCTGAAGACATCGCAGCAAGAGATGCGACTCCACATGGACCAGATCCCTCGGTGTATACATCGCTGGATTGCATCAGTAGAACTCCATCCCCACTCCGGAATCTACACCCTGGCAACTCCACCAGTGATCAGGAAGATGCAGACTTTGTACATCCAATAGCCTTTGAGGTCAAAGATCAGTTAGAGTCAGGTGAAGGGTCAGTCATAAGTCTAGATCAAGGTGTTGAATCGTCTGGTCGGAGCATAGACTCCCATCCCAGCCACATTGGTGTCTCCTCCATCGCCGACAGCGGTTACCATGCCAATGGATTCATGGTCTTCTCGAACGGGGAGTCGCAGCTGGACGGCAGCAGTGACAGCACCTCCTCCGTGCAAAGCGTGAAGGACACCGTCAGCTCCACCAATGTCTTACGGATGTCTCCACACAAGAACAACAACAACAACAGTGCATCTCAGCTCCTGGAGCTATCCCAGCACAGAGAGGAGTGGGTGGGGCTTACCAAACTCTGGTGTTCAACTGAAGACTCTCCAGGAAAAACAGAGGATGACTACCCCTTCTTCAAGGAAATAGCATCTCCTGGAAGTGCTGGGCAAAATGTAAATGACATGCTAATCATGGAGAATGGCACAAGTCCACTCGGTTGTCACAGTGGTTCTGTGTCATCCAGAGTCGGATGCTTTCCAGTACAACATGGTGATGCATTGCATAGATGTACAAATGCCATCAGGAACACCAGAGACATGGATATGATCGGTATCGACGGAGAAACGATGAACTTTCCAGCTGAAGCATATGTTGAGATGGAGGATGATGACGATGATGGTGAAGACGATGATGATGATGGGGAGGATGGGAATGATGTTCGTGGATATGATGATAACATCAGTAATGGATCGCTTGGATCTAGGAACTCATTGCGAACCCCTGAGAAGTCTACTGCTCAGTTCATAAATCTGCAAAGATTGACAGCCATTAACAATAAAAAGGTGAGTCCGTGAGATAGTTAAAAATCAAAGAGCTCCTAAATTTGGCAACTCTGGAGTGAATACATATTAAGATGTCTCTCCGGGGGGTGTGAAAACAGTAATGTCGTTTGGTTTATGCCTGATTTTAAAAAGTACTTTGAAGTAAAATTGTAAATCATTTCATTTTAAAAGCATAAGACTCAGCCCAATGTTCAATTTATAATGATTTATATGATGAAGTTTACATTATATCAACTTTTGATTTTAATACATGTATTTTCATTGATACAGGGACACAGAAACTTTACAAGATGTTGTTTTTGTGATAATTAGCACGGACTACCGGTACAAACAATAAATGTGCTTACACGCAATTCCATCTCATTTTCCTGCGTTGTTACAAGTAATTTCGAATCCCTATAACATCACAGGAAGTTCATGATAATTAACCCCTCACAAAAATAACACCTTCCACACTATTTTGAAGTTAATATCTGTGAAGTCAGGACATGATCCAATAAAGCAAGTACAGTTCAACCTCTTTTCATGACAACCTGGGGAGTGTTTCAAAAAGACTAAGATCGACTTTAAGTTGGACTTAACTAAAGTAGGCCATTCGTGCCACTGGTTGCTCTCACCATGGGTCTCTCAATTATGATCTTTAGATAATATTTTTTCCTTCAATAATGAACTATCAAGGAAAAAGCTCAATTCTGTAGATGTGTGACCATGATTTGTACATCCCTTGAGAGACCATTGTCAGTAAATGGTGAGAGCAAGCAGTGGCTGAACAGCCTGCCATAGTTAAGTCCAACTTAAAGTCAATCTTAGTCTTTGTGAAACACCCCCCTGTATATGAAGATGACCTGCATAAAAAAGACCCCCTGTTACTATAGACAACATGTTTTCTTTCTTTTGGACCAATGTCTCACAACAGACCCGTAACTGCAGCATAAGCAACTCTTCCTATGAAAGTAACCTGCTAAATACAGATTGCTTTCCCTGTCCCTTAAGCTTTGATTTATTTATTTTATTTGGTTTGTTTTGATGATGATTCTTTTATAAAGTGCACTAATGTATTGACTTGGTTTGACTGTATACGATGACCACATTTTGAATGAATATTGCATATCCTATTTTTTCTGTAGGCCTATATGACATCGGTCATCCTTCGCCTTCGGCTCTGGCCCGCCAGCGCTGCTTTCTACCAGTGGTTGGAATACACCCGATTGAAGAAGATGCACAGAGAGACCAGAGCTCTGGTCGAAGGCAGGATGAATGATGCTGAGCTGCGAGATGCATTTCAACATTGGAGGCAGCACAGCAGTGATAGTCAGCTTGCTGCCAGCTATCTGGTAATTAATAGACCATGTCTTGGGTATCGCATGGTTCAAAAGAAGACCCCAAATATTCACAGATCTTTTAAACATGGAGAGGTGCCACTGTTTGCATTTTCGAAAAATTGCAGGCCTGATAATCACCGGATTTAAATCGGTTTCCTGATTTTGGGGTTCTTTTTCCAGATTTCCCCCTTATTTTCCCTATTTGTGTACGTAAACCATGTATATGTGTACCCAATTCTAGTTGAATGCTGTAAAAACAAACTCAATTGCAATTAATCCTGTAGGAAATGTCAGTACAAAATTTCACCGATAGCGGTCCTCTTTGCCATGAAATTAATCATCCTATGTCTCTTATTTTGGTTTAGGATAAGAGGTTGATGGAGAGATATTTCCGCACTTGGGCCTGCATCAAGGAGAGAGAATCGAAAGGGGAGATACAGGCAGCAATAGCAATGCAGTTTGCATCAAGCACATTACTCAAATCAGCATGGAACAGGTGGAAAGAACATGTAAGTTCACATCTCTCAGGGGCTCCATACAAAAAAAAATCGGAGGGAGGGGGAGGGGGGAGGGGGGAGGGGGGAGGGGGGAGGGGGGGAGTCCTCCTTGACTTGGAGATTTACTTGTAGATTGATGAATTATTGTGCTGACCCCCCCCCCCCCCCCCCCCCTGTTGAAACTGTGACAATTATGGGAGTCCTGATAGAGAATTTGAGGGACCATGTATCCCAGGTCCCCTGTCTTACAAAAAGTCAATATCAATCGCAACTCATTTGCAATTGATATCAATCGCAACTCTACATGTATGTACATAAGAGATAGGAGACTGCAAACTTGCGATTGATTGGAGGACTGGTTGGATTGGATTGGAAGACGGGCCCCAGGTGCCTATAGATTACCCAAGTGCTAACGTCACATCCGATTGTCGTTCCAAACAACGACGCCTGAATATGAGGTTCACTGTGAAATCATTCAAACAACAGCCTGGAGCAGTTTTTGGGGTTGGTGTGATTCCACAACATAGCTTCGCGCTAAATTGATTGGAACCCGCAACCTTGATAACTTTGCGAGTATGAAGTCACACTTTGGTACTCTATTTAGTGTTGAGCCCTGACTTGTTGTCTTTTCATATCTGTGTTTTATGTTTTATCTCGATTTATAGCTCCAACAGACTGTATCCGATTGGTCCTCAGCCCTCCTGGAGTAACCACTTTAACCAATCAGAACTCGTCTCTCAAAGATGTGACTCCTTTTAAGCCAAGATCCATTCCTTCAGACATATTTACCCTCTGTGTTGCATCTTCATTTCAATTCACAGTTCCTACAGAGCTTGTATCCCATTGGTCCTCGGCCCTCCTGGAGTGCCCATTTCAGCCAGTCAGAACTCATGTCTCATAGGTGTGCCTCCTTTCAAGCGCAGACCCAGGGCAGGAATGTGAAAGAGTGTCTGATGTTCTGGAGATTAAGATGGAGACAGCTGGAAGAGGCCGATGGCTACAGGTCAAAGGTCATACTCAAGAGGTAAACACTCCTTATTTGTACTGTGTTATTATGTTTGTATAAAATTCACAGAGAAGTTTGAGTTCTAGCTGGTTGATGAAAAATAATTTGTGATCCTGATATTTATCGCTCAATGTATGTCAAGTGTGGAAAAACTTTATAGAAGTAATGCCTTTTTGAAAAAGATTTCTCTTCAAATGCCCTCATATGCGAAATATGACCAGAAACAACCGAGTTTAGACTAAGCTTTTTTCATGCCACATGTCTGTGTAGTCCCACATTTTTGTGCACATGCAGTGCATGTAACTTTCAGCAATTTTGAGTCAATTTCTTGTTGCAATGATTGCGAAACCTCACACACAGCATACACCAATTCTTATAAACTACATAATCAGTCTTTTCCAATTGCTGCCACACAGTCTCTTTCACAATGTAATCGCTTGACCAGAACTCAGATTTCTCTTTAATATTCTTTTTAAAAACTGTCCAAAAATGGAAAGAATATAGCTGAATATACTTCCAGTTTGATTAATAATTTGTACACTCTGTGTACAATTTTAGATGTTATTTCTATTGAAGTGGAAAAAATAAACCCAACCTGTTAATAGTCTATAGTTGCAGACAACATTCTCAACAAGAAACTGTTTACCCTTTGACAATAAACTTGACTGCGGTGGATGGTTCAGAAACTTGAAATGTGGAGACTGCAGAAGAAGGTATCTTGAGGAGAACAGAATTAAGGGCCATGATACGGAAGATGTGTGGTGTAAACAAGTGAGCTCATGGGAATTAGGCTAGGTCTGGAAGAAACTGGTGGGAGTCGTAAAGAGATCTGGATTTGGATGGATGGGAAGATGATGAACGTGAAAGAAAAGCGTGGAATCTGGTAGTGGATTGCATAATAGGGAAAGAAAGACTGAAAATTCTATGGCATGACGAAACTCGTCGTTTAAAATTGAAACCCGCTTTTGACTTTCACTACTCCTAGTAAACACTTGCGCTACACAATGTAATCCCCCCGCAGAGAACTTGACGGGTGATAGAGAGGGAGAGAGAGATAGGCATGATAGAGGGAGAGAGGAAGGGAGAACGAGTGCTAATTTTCACAGTTAAAATTGTTGTATTGCCAATTCTGGGTCATTTTGCTTTGTTCGAACTTTCATTATGGTATTCATCTAAATTATAAGTGACTTTTGGACATGAAAATATTTTTAACAAGTAAAATACTTATTTCCTACTTCTCATTTCCTTTCAGGCAGAGCCCCAGTATGAGCTTGTTTACACTATTACATAAGATGATGAAGAGTACACCTGCAATCCAATATTGTAGTCTCTCACGCAGAGCTGCAAGGCTCTGTCCAAGTTTTAACGAGAGAAACGAAAGTAGGGTCGTGATACCCCACCTGATTTACATTGTTTCCTGTGTTATAGTCGTGGGGTATAGTTTTAACCAGAGCTTTTCGTGATGAAAAGATATGGTGAAAAAAGAAAGCAGTATAAAGCTTATGAGGAGGCTGCTTAAGACAAGAAGAAATGGAGGGAGGGAGTGTCAACATTAAAATTCATCAATCCCTCTTAAGAGGGAAAATGCTGACTTTGATAAAGGATGATTTGTCCAAAATGAGTGAAATATGGTCTCGCAGCATCAAATGTGGTGATTTGGAATAATCAATACAGTTTGCTGAGTTGAAAGCATGCATTGACATAATCATTTCCCATCTTTTCAATTATTTTTGTATTGTCAAAGAAATACTAGAGTTTATATGTATTGCTTTCTGTGTTTTTTGATATATGAAGATGCTTGAGAGCCTGGCAGAGCTGGAGTAGAGAGAAAAGATGGAGGGAGAATGCTGCTAGGACCATTTTAGAAGCAAAACGGAAGAAAATGGTGAGAGTTGTATGATTTGTTTTGTTATATGTAGATTCTATTATAAGCATTATGCAATTATTCCGCTCCACATGCTTTTATGGAGAAAATAATTATCTGAAGAGAAGCTCGAGTTCTGAGAAGGTTGAAAAATAATTTGTAAGGTTTTTCACTTTTGTATGTTGTAGCATGGGGCCCAGAATAATATTACAGAAAAAAGGTTTCCTGAAAAGGATGGTACTTCATATGTCCTGATATTTAAAATACGACTAGAAATACCTGAAATGTTTAGACCAAACTTTCTTGCTACATGTTTGTGTAGTCCCATTGTGTAGTCCCATATGAGCTTTTCATTATACGATCTATCCGCACTTGAGTTGTGGCAGTGTGTATCTATCGCACTCAGCCTAACGGCTTCATGCGATAGATACACACAGCATCAACGAGGACGAATAGATCATATAATGAACGAATGAAAACATGCATCATTTGTTTTATACAACGAAACTCCTAGATCCTTGTTATTTAATGTAAAAAGATTGATTCGGCTGACAAATAAATATATAAGTTTGATAAGGATTAATTTAGTGCGCAAACATAGATATAGCAAGCACACTTACCTCTATACCCATTTACGCATAGTGCTACGCAAGAATATGCCCATGCACACACAGTATTAAGCACTCTAACCTCTACGCGCAGTAGTACTGGACACTATTGCACGCTTTTTCATGAAAAAACATGCAATAATCTGACCAATCATTTGATTAGGGTATGGAAGTGAGTTGTATAAATTCTTCTATGATGTAATCGCATGTCTGGAACCCACTTTTATCTTTGAGGATCATTTAATTGCAGGCTTTCAGACGCTGGAGGATGCAGCTTGCTAAGCAGGACCTGGTCCATACCCACTACCACGGAGCAGCTAACAATCATCTCAGCCTCATCATCCAGGTATGGCAGGGGTGGGCAGAGACAACCAAGAGACTCCGCCTCACTCATCAGGTCGTGAAGCAACGATGCCGTGCTGGCCTCCTGAACGGGGCCTGGTTGTCATGGAAACAGGAGGCAGAGAAAACCAGGCGAGCTAAGGCATTCCAGGACGGGAAGATTCTTCATAGGTTCGTGCACAAACTGTGCAGTCCAATCTTTTTGAGAATGAAGCCAATGTAACCAAAGTTCTAGCTCTTGCTAATTCTTTGACCAATTTTTTTGCCAATTCTATCCCACAAAAAATATTGACGTGCTTGACTCTCTTTGTTCCCAAACAAAAAATCTAAAGTTAAATCTATTTGTTATTCTTAAAGTACACAATAATTCAATGCTGATAAACATGCCTGTAATAGAATTCAAATGCACATGTAAACTATGAGCAAATGAAATGGTACTCTTATATTTTTCCCTTTCCCAACAATTCCTTCTCTTTCTTTCTCATCTCTCTGTCGTCTTCCCCATCTTGTCCCTTTTCATTTCTCCTTCTCTCTCTCTACTTTATAACTGGCAATTTGTTTACATTTATTATTATAAATTTCCTGTTAATTTTGTAATTATATTGGATTCTTTTATATGATGTTAAACATTGCAACTATGTTATCTTCGTATATATCAGTAATTGGAATGTTTTTACAAGGAATTTTTCTTTCAATAATCAAAAATGCCAAAAACATGAATATGTAAATTGTCATGGCTGACATAGCAAGTACATTTGGTTCTACATCACATAACAATATTCAATTCATCCATAGCCCATATCACATTATAACGTCCCTATGCGTTTCCAAAGAGTTTTGAAATCATTACCCTAGCTTTAGCTCCGGCGTCCGTTATCAGCACACACAGCATTTCATCTGGATGGGTCGTACAATTTGGTGCAAACGATCTTTATGTGCTCATGTGTAGATTGTGGCTTAAATATTGCTATACCTGTACTTCACTTTTTCAGGACTTTCAGTGGATGGAAATCAGTAATCCATGGTGTGAAGCGGCATAGACTGGGCATGGATTCCATCCAGTCAAGGAAGAAACATGCTACACTCTCTGCTTGCTTCAGACTCTGGCAGATGGAATACAAGGCCAGGAGGTTTGCTGTAATGCAGGAGCACAGACAGGCTAGGAGTACACTGACCAAGGTCCTTACTGCGTGGAAGATGTTTGTTGCAGAAAGGCGTCGTGAGAGACAAGAACAGAATGAAGTCCTACAAGAGGTATTTTCCTATTGAAACTTGTCGTAAAGGAAATAATGCATAAGGACCCGAGGGGAGGGGGGGGGGGGGTTCACAAAACTTGTCATCAGTGACAAATGACAGTTTTTGTTGTAAGCTACTGAAATCCTTGCTTCTGATTGGTTATCAGCAGATTTGACACTGATTTTTGTCATTTGTCATTGAAAAAAGGCTGTGTGAAACGCCCCCCACCTGTATGTAAAGACCATTTTCTTGTCCACCTTGAATGTACAACTTTAACTTGATTGTTATTTTCATTTCTGTGTTTTTAAGAAGTTGCTATTTTCATAAATAATCAAGTTTTCATGAGTTTTCATGCTGCATGCTAAAGGTGTACAATCCATTTCAAATAACCAACACCATTTTGCCCACAGGCTTTTTCGATTTGGCGAAATCAGTACCTTGAAACGAAACGTAGAAAGCAAGTGACCCTGTCTGCTGCCACCCACTGGCGACATTTAGTTAGGAGATCAAGGGAGCTGACGGAGACCATGAGTTTGTTCCGGAGCTCATTGGAGGAAAGAAAGCTAAAACAAACATTCATCTGGTGGCAGAGGTCATGGATAGGCCATCAGCTTTCTCATCGTTTCTATGGCAACACGCTCCTCAACAGGCTAGTATGAATTATGTAGTTATGTGTGCAGGGGCCAATTATGAAAACTATGTTATCTTTTATGTTATGGATAAAGATGTTGATTGTCATAACAAATTAAGCTTGTGCTAAAAAATACTTCTTGTTGGTGCTTGCATACCGGTAGATGTCAGATGTCACTCGTCAATGACTTGTTGTACTGTTGATTTGTTATAACAGGAAATATCTGTTTACTAACTTTGAAGAAAAAAATTAAACACCAGGGCCTCGTCTTACAAAGAGTTACGATCGATCCAAATCAATCCTAAGTCTTCCAATCAATCGCAAGTTTGCAGTCTCCTATCTCTTATGTACATAGTTACGATTGATATCAACTCTTTGTAAGACGGGGCCCAGGTATCTATTTTTTGAATACCTATTGTCTATTCATAATCATTGATCACATTTTTCATGATTTAACTAAAAAAATTGCTTTATAGTAGTGCACCCACACAAAAACATATTACCGGTACTATCAACATAACTTGGATGCTGGTGTGAGGAAATAAGATTTTTAGGGGGAAAATTCAAAATTTATATTATCAATGTAAAGAAAACAATTGCTGGATAGTTAGGCAATGACGTCACAGACTCATGAGTGAGTTGCCAATTTGTCTTGTGATTTTCAAAGTATTTCATGCCATCAAAAATTCATAACTTTCCTATTAGTCATCCAATTTTGCAATAACTTTTTTTGATTCGTTTGTCTGAATTTTCAATTTTTGGAGTGGTCTTACCCTTTAAAGTTAAAGGTCAAAGGTCATTGGGTCATACAACTGTTAAAAATAGAAAATAGATCGTTATCACAATAACTTGAAAAATAATAAGGCAATCAAACTTTGATAAAGTATGTATGAACATGCAAGGATGAATTGATTAGATTTTCTGTGGAGAAGGTCAAAGGTCACAGGGTCATGAAAGTGCTAACAATTTTTTTTTTTTACTACCTTTCCTCTTTTTTTTTTTTATAGATCCATGCAGGGATTGAAAGAGCTGCTCCAGAGGTCTAGAAGACACAGTGTCTTGGAACAGCATTTTGTATCTCAGAGGAGGAAAGCTTTGGTAATAACTATTCCAGTTCACAATTTTCTTAAGATCTATTAAATAAATCACCTTTTTATCCTCAACTTGGCACCAATTTTTATTCTTATTTTCCACAGAATGGAGGGAGAAAGGCATTCACTCTGTGTAAATTATTATGATCTAACGCCATTCAGACTCCAAATGGACAATATTTACTGGGGATAATGCAAATCGCTCTTCCTATTGATTCACCCCTCCTTGTAAAATGTTACATATTTTATAGAGAGATTGAAGTGTGTGTTGTCTGCTGAGATCCATAAGGGCATAACTTATATCTTCAGAATTAGCGCTCTTCTGGCTGTAAACAGACGGTGGATGTGCAATAATGTGATGGAGGAAACCTTTGAGGGCATGTCTATGTTGAGGAGACAGTACTGTTGAAAATGTACATGTAGGGTGGTATTCTCAAAAGCGGACTAACTTTAGTCCATTGTTTAATCCACCGACTATGTATGGAATGCCAAGTGTGCATATGAATATGTTTTTGAATAATTTATTCTGTCACTAAATTAAAATAAAATGTAATAACATAATTAATAAACAACAATATAACTATGATATAATTGTTTTATTAGTGTAATTTAGGGATATCAAATTATTCAAAAATATATTCATATGGACGCTTGGCATTCCATACATAGTCGGTGGATTAAACCATGGACTAAAGTTAGTCCGCTTTCGAGAATACCACCCTAATGTTTATTTAGAATTGGTTTTAGTATCAAGCCATATATGCACCTAGCTCCAACTTAATTGCAATAATTGTACTGATAATATTCTTTCCTCAATTCAGTTGGAAGTGTACTTCAGGAAGTGGAAGGATAGGCAAAGTCACATGACAGACCTTCATGTCACAGCCGCAAAGGTCAAAGGTGAATTGGCAGACAAGTCAGTCGGTGTCGCATTTCTCATGTGGCGTCTACGCTATCGAGAGAGACAGACTGAGCATAGCTTCAAGCATAAGCTCATGTTGAAGGTATGGACAATGTGTGAACATCAAAGTTGTGTGGAAGTACATGTAGGAGGTACCGTTGAAGCTTAAAGGGCAAGTCCATTAAAAAAAAAAACTTACTTTCAATAGAAGCAGAAAAGCAGACAAACTATTAAAAAAAAGTTTGAGCAAAATCAGATAACTAATAAGAAAGTTATGAATTTAAAAAAAAAAAAAGAAAAAAATACATGTTACTATCAATCTAACTTGTATGCTGGTGTGAAAAAATAAGATTCTTAGGGGGGAAAAAGGAAATTTATATTATGAATATATAGAAAATAATTAGTGGATAGTGACGACATGACATCATAGACTGATGAGTGAGTTCCCAATTTGTCTTGTGATTTTCATTGTTCCATAGTTTTACATACTTTTTCAAAAATTCATAACTCTCTTATTAGTTATCCGATTTTTGTTAAAACTTTTTTTGATTGGTTTGTCCAATTTTTCTGCTTATATTGAAAGTAAGTTATTTTTGGAGTGGACTTGTCCTTTAAAGGGAACCCTACCCCAAAGTATAGGTGTAGACATTCTGGAAAAAAAGATGTATTCCTTAAAAAAATGTACAAGAGATTTATAAATTAAGATATTCTTGGCATGACTGTGATGCCTTTTAGCATGACATGGGCACAGCCATTTTCTTGCAAATGCAATGTACCAGGTGAAGCTGTACATGTATCATGCACCAAGCTTTAGTTGGAAAGACTTTTAAAATCAATAACAAAATCTTCAATTTTCAATGAGAAAAACTCATAGCTGAGAAGGTGTAAAATATATAACAGTGGAACAATTGAAACTAATTCATTTAAAGATACTAAAATAAAGCAGTTGCAGGACTTGTCATTGTTATTACCCCAGGGGTGTTTCACAAAGATCCTGAGTTGAACTTATCTCTAAGTTGGACTTAACAATTATGGAAAGCCGTTAGCATATTTTAAAATATTTGGTAAAAGTTATTTTAATAAAAGGCATAAAATGTTGATTCAAATCATTCATATTTTTCTATTATCAATGAGATTTCATGTTCTCTCTCTCTCTCTCTCTCTCTTTTCTATCACAGACCTGGCAAACATGGAGAGGATCACAAGCCAATTATCAGAAAGCTGAAAGCATGAGAGGAGAAAGAGAGAAGTCCCTACTGAGGCAGTCTTTCAATGCCCTACGGAACTGGGCAAGAGGTTGGCATATCGGCTTTGTCCTTGTCTTCTCTTTCTTTGCTTGTTTGTATATCTCTCTCTCTCTCTCTCTATCTCTCTGTCTTACTTTGTCTCTATGTCTTTCCATGTCTGACTCGGCCTATATATATACCCATTGTTGCTGTTGTTTTTTAATGTATCTGTACGTGTACGTATCTACAGTATTTCTTTCCTCTTTAAATTATCTTAGCCCTAAACCTATATCTTAGATGAAATCAAACTTGAGGTAAATGTCACAGGAACAAATCTTGGTTCACCCATCTAAACTCCAAGCAGCCTCTGAGTAAATTGAGGCCTGATTCATAGATCATACATCTGAACTAAATCCAGACGGACTCTAGACGTGGCCATTCGGTGTAATTTAATCTGTGTGTGTGTGTGTAATTCGGTTTTTACAGACGTGTATCAATCAGATATGATTATTTACGTCTGCGGACTGACCTTTAACGTCACCATCCGAAAGACGTGACTTGGTTCCGAACCTGCGTCCTCGACTGAATCAGTTTGTAACTTCCATTGTTAGCTGGATTACAGGCGCATGCCACAATGCCCAGTCTTTTTGTTTGGTCTGTAGTCTAGGTTTCATGTTGGTCTCATCAGTGTGACTGGCATGTAAAAGTCCAGGAGAGTGTTTCACAAAGACTAAGATTGATTTTAAGTTGGACTTAACGATGGCAGGCTGTTCATGCCACTGTTTGCTTTCACCATTTACTGGCATTTGTCTCTCAGGAGACGTACAAAACGTGGTCACCAACCTACAGAATTTACCTTTTTTGATAGTTCATTATTGAAGGAAAAAATATTATCTAAAGATAATAATTGAGAGACCAATGGTGAGAGTAACCAGTGGCATGAGCGGCCTGCCATAATTAAATCTAACTTAAAGTCGATCTTAGTCTTTGTTAACCACCCCCCTGCATCTGTCCCCATTTTTACGTTGTTAGATCACTCGGGAAGGAGAATCGTTCTGCATTGTGTACAGACCAGGAAGAACCATTTCACCCTCAAGATGACATTTGCAGTATGGCAAGACGAGAGCCGATTGAGACAGCTGGCCAAAGATCATCATAACATGTGCATCCAAAGGAGGTTTGGCACATTTTCTAAAAGTCTAGGGGGGGGGGGGGTGATTCACAAAGATTCGAAGTCAAACTTAACTCTAAGTTGGACTCAAAAATTAGGGACAGCCATTGGAGCCTTAAAATGAAATATATTCAAAAGCAGAAATTCAAGTATTTTAGACTTTTTATAAATTCCACACCCAGAACATGAAATCTCCTTGATGATAGAAAATATGAATGATTTGAATAAACAATTAATGCCTTCCAAAATAACTTTTACAAAATATTTTCAAGGATGCTAATGACTTTCCATAATTGTTTAAGTCCAACTTAGAGATAAGTTCAACTTAGGATCTTTGTGAAACACCCCCTATATGAATCAGCTTTTCCTCTCATTGGCTTCACATTAGTTATTGGTATTTTCCCCACGTAGGTTTGAACAGTTTGAATTAAAATTTCATAGAAAATCACCGAAGAAGTGCAGATTGTACAAATAGTAGTGATTTAAAGGCCCACTGCACTACTGGTAGCTACTTGCGCCCTCTATATAATAAACAATGCATAATCGGTGACCATTGGTCCCCCATGATCCTCTTTTTCTTATGTTAACTGAGAGCTGAGTTGATGAGATAACCACCTGTCCAGTGACCTTGCAGAGCGGTCTAATCCCTCCTGTAAAGTATGGCAGATAAGCTTTAACTTTGCGTTGCCAATTTAGAGATGGCCCTATGTATTGAAACAGAAAGGTCACTCCAATTTTCCAGCAATTTTTTTTTGCTCTCTCTCTCTTTCTGCTCATGTAAAATTTGTAATTCAGAGCATTCTAGATCAAAAGATCAAAATGGAAAAAGTCAGTGTGGAGCCCTGCACATATTCATTGGCTGCTATCGACTCAAAGCATTCTTGCTTATGATAGTTGGCCTCTGCATTTATCTTGATTATTTTTACTTACTTTCAAGCTTTCAATTATTTATTCATTATGCATTTTTATGTGTGTGTAGTTAAGTTGTCTCTCTTTATGTAAATCAATTATATTATATACTATTATTGTTATATGAATGTTTTATATTTGATTTTATCAATAAATGCAGAAACATCCGGTTTAAAAAAAATGTTTATTTGAAACCTCATTTTTTTTTTTGTTGCTTCTTCTATGTGCTTTATGCAGGATTCTAATCGCTTGGAGGAGTTTCAGTCAGAAACAGAAGGTCTTAAATGCTCTCCGCCAGAAGGTCGCATGTCGAGTGAGTGAGAGAAGGCAACATGAAGCTTTCAGAGTGTGGAGAGGCGCCTACCTTGCAACTCAAGAAGCAGAAGCTAAGAGGAAAGAGGAAGCAGCACTTCTTACTAGGTATGTGTGGATTATTACTTCATATCGTCCTTTTCATATTCAAACTCATGTTTGCTTTTGTGTTTGTGTTCATATGCGTGTTTGTGTCCTTTTTTTTTTTGCGTTCATACATGTATGTCTGTTTGTGTTCATATGTGTTTTTGTGTTCATATGTGTGTTTGTGTTCATATGCGCGTGTGTTTGTGTTGGTGGGTGTGTGTGTGTGTGTGTTTTTGTGTTCATGTTCATATTCATTGTCATAATCATAGTCTTATTCACATCTTAATTCATATTCATATTCATAATTTATATTCATATGTATATTGATAATTTATATTTAAATTCATATTTATAATTCATATACACATTCGCATTCAAATTCACATTCATATTCAAAGTTCTTGGTCATGCACAAAATATTGTACATCTATCATAAAGATCATTTTCTGGCTTTTTCTAGTAGATGGGGGGGGGGGGGTGTCTGGACACTTAAACAAAAGTTCTCTCTGTCCATCTCTCTCTCTCTCCATCTCTCCATCTCTCTCCAGCTCCAAAATAATGTTTGATTTGATGTTCTTGCAGGTGCTTTAGTGACTGGCGTAATGAGGTACACGAGGTCCAGGCCCAGCGACTGAGGGAGAGGAGGAGGAGGATGAGATGGGCGGTGGCAAGATGGAGGAAGAGCATGGAAAGAAAGAAATTGATAAGACAGTATGAGAGCGATCTAGAGGAGCTAGCAGTGCTTCACTGGGACCATGGTGTGAGGTAAGCAGGTTTAAGTCATTGGAGATGGGTTGTTGATGATGGTAGTGGTAGTGATGGTGATGGTGATGAAGATGGTGGTGGTGGTGGTGGTGATGATGATGATGGTAGTGGTAGTGGTAGTGGTGGTGGTGAGGATGGTGGCATGGTGATGATGATGATGGTAGTGGTGGTGATGGTGATGGTGACGAAGATGATGGTGGTGGTGGTGGTGGTGGTGATGATGATGATGATGGTAGTGGTAGTGATGGTGAGGATGATGGCGATGAGGGTGGCGGTGGTGGTGGTGATGGTGGGGATGGTGGTGGTGGTGATGGTGAGGATGATGGTGATAGTGATACTGATATGAATGGTTATGGTGATGTTGATGATGATGTAAAGTAAGAGGAGGAGGAGGAGGATAATGATGATGATAATGGTAATGATGATGATGAGGATGGTGGTGATGATGGTGGAGATGGTGCTGATGGCAATCGGTGTGGTGGTGGTAGCAGTAAGGATGATAAACCTGAATGAAATTAGATGTGGTGATGAAAATACTGTGAAGTCAAATGAAAGCACAAAGACATTTTCTTCACAAATACTTTTACCTTTGTTCCCATTGTGATACCTACAGACGAGGATATTTCAACAAATGGAGGTCAACTCTTCAAGCAGTCAGACATCAAAGAAGACAGTGCTTTCTGGAACAGAAATATGGCCTCCTGTGGAAGCAGCATGTCACTCAGATGCTGATGGCCCGAGCCATGGTGAGCCCTCTGCAGCCCCATTCACATTTGCCTAGGGAAACCGCTTTGATAAACCGCTGAGGCAATATAAGCATAATGTGTTCACATTTCTCAATCTTATTATGTGTAGCACGCTCATTGCATGTAGCTTTTACATTTTTCCATCCCCACTTGCACTTCGCGTACATTGTACATGTTAAAAAATAAACAAGCAAGAAGTGCACTTGCCAGAGGACTCTAGCGCCATGCCAGTGTGTGAACCCATGACCTTTGCATCGCCAGTCAAGTATTTTTTTGGATTTCTGCAAGAAGTCTGTAACTGCCAGTGACGTATCTCTTACGCTTCCATGCATGCAGCAGACGGTTTAGACCACTCGACTTAAAGAGAAGGTTGAGTTCTGGTCAAGCGATTGCATTGTGAAAGAAACGTTGTGGAATCGATCAGAAAAGATTGATCATCTAGCATATAAGTATTTATGTGTATTGCAAGGTTCTGAAATCATCAAAATTATAAGAAATTTGTCCCAGTCTTGGTATAGTTACAAGCACTGTATACAGAAAGATGTATATGGGACTACACGAACACGTGGCGAAACAATTCGTCCCGACTTTTATGATATAACATGCCATGTTTAGAATATTAAGGCATTTGAAGAGCTATGCTTTTCAGGGAACATTTTTTATCTGATGTTCTTCCACACTTGCATAATACAATGATAACGCTCACAAATTATTTTTCACCACTTCCCAGAACTCAACCTTCTCTTCAACACCTCATGTCGATGGCGTGGCAAGCAAACTGCAATCATTGTGGAATGCTACATTTCTTATCATTCTGTTCTTTCTTTCTTCTTTCTTTTCTTTTTCGTTACAGGCAAGGTACTTGAGGCTTGAGAGATGTTGGAAAACTTGGAGGAAACACTTCATAATGGATCGTGTCTCAAGGGAGATGTTGGAACAGGATCAACGTATGCTTCTCACCAAGGTTGGTATGAAATCGTGTAGTCACCTATGAAGGCCTGCTCACATATGTCTCAGTATATCACTGCAGTTTACAGGGATGCCAGTTTTCAGGCCCTGGCAAGTTATTTTCAGACCATATTTTAGGCTTTTTTGTGTACAAAATAGCCCATTCTCTGTGATTTCAGGCCCTCTGATCAATTCTAACTGGCATCCCTGAGTTTACCCAGGAAGGTTTGTTCAGTTTACTGCGCTTCATTTTGTGTACCTTCTTGTGCGTAGCTACTATTTTCATCCCCAATTGCCATTCATTTAGCACACAGAAAAATGCTGTGGGAAGGCGTGGCAGTTTACCCCGACGTATGCTAACGAGCCTTCAGACAAGATTTTTATATAATTAGGTCGAGTTCTAGTAAAAAAAGAAAACCAATTTGTGAGCTCTCTCTCTCTCTCTCTTGATATTAACTTTGAAAGATTATCATAGTGGAAATGTCCCCATGTTAGAAATATTTTGAAACTTTGAGCACCAAATTTAGATGCACGTGTGTCTGTGATCTCAAGTACCCAAGTCTGTGTGCCATGCTGTTCTTTGTGATTTTTTAGCAAGATTCAGCCAATTTATATTTGTAATGATTACAAAACCTAGTAATTCTAGATTTGGCTTCAGTTGTGTACTACTTTATCCACCATTTCAAAAAACTATTAAACTGTTTCTTTTAAAATGCAGTCACATAACCTTACTCAAATGTTACTTTTATACTAAGATACTAATCATATTTATTTGGGATAAAATAAAAAACAGGTTAAGATTACTATTGGTATTAGTGAGTCATAAATCCGATTCTGTTACTTAAACTTATATTTCATGTAAATACTGGTATGTGTAGATGCTGGTTGAATACAAGTCGCTTTTGTACTGAAGATAGCACAAAACAAAATGAAGCAAAACTTATACTAATGTTAAAGACTATATGCCTTATTATTTTGCTAGAAAATAGTAACATAGATGAGCATTGACTAAAGTAAGATATCAAAAGAAAATCAAGCAAGTAGTTTTGACTCTGTGAATTACAAATGATCTCATACATGTTTGTGCTGTTGTATAATTGGGCTTTTCAGTGATTTAAATTTCCAGGAATTGTTTTTCTTTATTTTCTTCACTATGATTTTGCTGGTCCAAACACCCATTATTTACTGCACGATAATTCATTCAGGATTGAATAATAGCAACGAATACTGACATACTAAAGCTTTTTTGTCTTGCACTAATCAGATTATCTCGCAAGAATGAACAGAAAGCCAAAATTAGACGAAACAAAATTTGCTTAAAGCTAATTTCATTGTCAGTACTCAAGTCTAGGTTAACGGTGAGTAGGTCCTTCGTCCCTTTTATCCCTCTGTTTTTTAACCCTTGCAGGTTTTCCACCGATGGCGCCAACTTGCTACTCTACAGAGAACGGAACTAGGCTCTAAAGAATGACTGCTCATGGTCCTCGAACTCATAATGGACATCTCGATATGTTGATTGAGTTTCGTGCAGTGGAAAATTGTTATGAAACACTCTGGGGTCGTAATCTAAAAATGATGTTATGTAAGGAAAAATGATGTTTTGAAAAGTCATGGAAAATCACTGAAATTGATCGTGGGTGTGAGCTGTTCGTGGCTATGGCAGCCTTCCAATTTGAACTGACAATTCGTACGCTGCATGGATCCCGCACCCATACCAAAAATGGTTCTTATCTGGTCATGGAAAAGGGGAAAAAATACTAGGTCATGAAAAGTCATTGAATTTGGTTCTCAAATTTATGTGGGAACCCTGAATAAGGTATTACTATTCCAACGCTGCTTAGATTCTGCATCCATACCAAAATGGTACTTATCTGGTCATGGAATGACATTGAATTTGGTTCTCAATTATTGCCCTGTTATTAACTGTGCTGATTCGAGCTCTTCATATTCTTTTGTATTTCAAACATGATACAATGAGATACCTGATAAAGCAAGGTAATTTCTATAGCCCCAATTTTCTTTTTATAACTAGTTTACACTGTACTTTCCAGTACTTAAAGTTGTGTTGATTAACATTAGAAAACAAACACAAGCACGAACAAAACTATGTACAAAGCTTAGTCTTCCAACATGTAAATTGCAATGATATAAAGATAAATGAAATATAATTAATCTAAAGAAATGCAAATAAATATAAGGCTGTAAAGTTGAACAAATTACACAGGAGAAAGTTGAACGAATCATATAATTTATTACTTTGTATGTGCAATACCGGTAAATACCTTTATTATGTCTGAAGCATTTATTCTCTATTTTGTTGCATATTTTCTGAATATCATTCCTATTTTCATATCCAGTTATGTTATGTAATAGCAGACTTGATGTGTAATTTACATTGTGTTTATTTGTGTTATAGATTATATTTTTGAGAACATGTAAATGTTATTAGAAAGCTTAATGTAGTCAAGTTTTAATGATATATAATTTTTTTTCCTCAAAAGGCTCATTCACATATAATGTGGTAAACAGCAGTAAAACAACTTGTTGTGTAGACCAGTTGGTGTACACGCTGGCATAAAATAGGGCGTGCATGAAACCAAAATAGGAGTTGGGTTGTGTACGTGCCGTGCTATGTTATCTTTTCTCCACACTAGATTAAAAGTTTTTTGAGGTTGAATTTATACAATCAAGCTACATAGGAAACTTTTTTATTGGTTCAATGCCATGCACTTATTTTGCATCAGCGGTGTACTGTGACATATGAGAATGAGTCTAAAATAGCAGCAATTTACTTCAATTTTTATAGAGTCTTTTGGGGTATTTTTTAGTAATCAAATACCTTTTATCATTTACAATCAAAAATTTGAACAATCAAGAATATGAACAATCAAGAAAAAACGGTGGTAGAATTTGCAATGAAACATGTGTCCATTTACAGTTTAGCTTCCAATGACTTTCTTCTTGCCAAATTCACTACCGGTACTTACAAAAAGAGAAGAGGAGGGAGAGAGAGAGAGAGAGGGGGGGGGGGGGGGGGGGGGAGAGGCTTTTTTTAATATTTATTAGTGGTCCAATTTATTTCAAACTTTCACATTCTGTTCATCTTATTTTTCTGCTTTCATACACATGAACTTATTACAAGGGTTGGATTGTGGATAATAAGAGTAACAACAATAAATCTTTGTAATTGGCAAGTTACTTGCTTTGCAAATGGAGGACCTTAAATATTTTAATTCACAAGTACAGAGTATGCAGACTTTGCTCATATGTTTTTTGTAATTTGTGAGTCTTCTGTAGTTTAATACACAATTATCATTGCTGTTTTATTCTCTGCATGTGTGTTTATTTCTATTTGTGTTTACCTATTTTAATTTCTGAAATGGTTATCCAGGGTGTATGTATTTTAGGTTATGCAGTGCTATCTTATGTAGGCTTAAATGTATGTATACATCAGACTATATTATGTATTTATATTCCACATACTAAGAAATTTGCTTTATGATTGGTCAAAAGTAAATCATGTGATGAAAGATAGTTCGCCCATCATTGATGGGAGAAAAAAAGTTTGTTACACTGTGTAGATAGTAGTACAATCTACACAGTGCAACATACTTTCTTGTATACATGTACGTGAATACACGTACGGACATACGTATTACTACATGCACTATACGTATCGCACACAGTTTGCTAGCTATTAATTGATGATTTGTTGCTCTAAAATGACGGAAGAAGTGAAATGTTTCCGATAAGGAATAAATACCAAATAATCACCTCTTGGTTTCAGGCAATGGCAAACTATCAAATCGGGTAATTATCAGGCCTGATATATATATAATTTTTTTGAAATTTAGTTTTGTGTTTGTGTAGTTGTACATATCGATTTTAAAAGACAGTTTTGTACCAGTGAAAGTTGTGTACATGGTTTACATGTAGACTCCTCTGTTGGAGTACTTTTTTTTTCCTTCTTTATTTGTATTATCACACGCTACTAAATACTAATTTTAACTTGTCATCATCATCAATACTATCACCATTATCATCAGCATCATCACAAGCATCACGATCCTCAGCAGCAGCATTATTGTATCCTCATTGTTATCATTATCATCTTCATATTTATCACCATTATCATGTTCTCAATCTTCATCATCATCAAAATAATGATCTTTATTCTCCTCCTCCTACTCATTATCATCATCATCACTATCAATATCTGTATCATTAGCATCGTCATCAAAATAATGATCTTTATCCTCCTCCTACTCCTTATCATCATCACCACTATCAATATCTGTATCATTAGCATCGTCATCAACATCATCATCACTTGTATCATCGTCCTCTTTATCATACTCATATTTATTCTCCCCATCCTCATAACCATTATCATTAGCATCAATAGCATAGAATCAAAACAATCATCATCGGCCACCACCACCACTAATAATATCCCACCACACAATTTTTTTCTTTTTTAATTTTATCTTCATTTATTTTAGATTACTGTTATCATCACCATTTCATACTTGAATATACATAAATGTTTCAATAATAATTTTTCAATCATCACCTCACAAGGAAACACATCTTCGTACTTGAATTCATGGCATGTTTTCAGTTTTCTAAATTTCATATTGATGTACCACTCATTAAAAGCATATTGTGCAATTGTTAATGACAATCTTTGATTCACATCTGCCAAAATGTTGATTTTTTTTTTGTATCAACATGCAGGAGGTTCTTAAAACAATAAATTATTTGTAAATTTTCAAAAGCAAATAAGTTCTTTCTTTTTTGTATTTTTGTGAGTGTGCGTGGGTGTGTTCAAGAAATGGGTGACTTCAGCCCCTACTTTCAAAGTCTCCAAAAAAAAATATCGTTATTTCATGATTTAGAATTTACATGGGTAACCTATCACTAAAAACATCTGTTGAAAGTTGAAGAAAAAAAAAGAAGTTAGAAAACATCAGCAGCATCTAAATGACAATGTACATTCACATGTACAGTACAGTGTAAATGTAATTTTAAAACGCACAAAACAGATGTGTATAACCAAAGAGATATCTCCTTGGTATAACAAACATTTGCCCGGTTATTAGTTTAACATTTTGTACAGCATATCAATAATAAAATATTCATAAACTTTGTCAACTTTCAATATCAAATAATACTAATTTTTTTAATAAAGATTCCCGAGATATCCAGTGAAAAAAATTTGTCAACAGGGGCATTGACTGTGCATTTGAAGGGGGAAGGAGGGAAGATGGGCATCCAAAATTCTTCAACAACCAAAACATAATTTGCTATCAAGGGGAAAAGATTCCTCATATTTTTCAAAAGAAAAACATTGTTAGTTTAAACATATTTGTGGCTTACACCCAGTAAATAAGATTGATTGATCGATCTGTAATTGAAAATCAACCAAACAAAAAAAGTTTACCCGGATTTCTAAGGGCTTATGGATAACGAGCGTGAAGAAAATGGAGAATAACATAAAACGTTGCGTTTACGGAACCAAAGTCCGACTCGGGTTCTGTGCATGCCCTATTCATTGCAATCATGTAAGGGTGCGTTTTGAATATACAGTAGTATTACGACATGGAATTACCAACATACAAAACAAATCTTTATGTTGATTTGTTCACTTTAACATATTTCATTTGCTAATTGATCAAGAACTTTGACTATTTGCATGCAAAATAGTTTACATACATGCATATGCATTAATTGACTGATCCTTTTGTGATGATCCTTTCACAATTTGTGGTTTGACTCAATAACTTTTGATCCAGAGCCATAAAAAATATGAAGGACGCATGAGTAGAGAGGGCAATTTTTTTTGCAGACACTGCATCCATTTTTGTTTCATTACAATACGGCATTTTGATGCCTGGAATTGGAGAAAGAAAAATCTTTGAATTGGCGACACGCTGAAAGAGTCAAAATCATTACTTTTCAATAAAAAATATTTTAAAAATTCAACTTTCCAACTACATTCCCACACATGTACATGTATACTGTTTGCAGAGCCATTATGGTTTATTTCAACAATGTGGCCCAAAAAAAGAAAAATATTATTGCTGCCAACTTGAAGAACAATAATGTGATTGATTTAACCTTAAAAATAACCCTGTCCTAAAAGGGAAAAAACAATTGTACATTGTGAGATGTGATGTGGTCTAGCAGTACCATCATTCTCTATCTTCGCTTACAACTGACCCTGATGGACCTCGGTTCAAACCTGGGTCACATCTTTGGGCTGGTGAACAGTTGAAGGTATAGACCAGTTTTGGAAACGCCCCCCTCTCAAAAAATAAAATGGAAGCTCTTATTACCAATCGTGTGAAAGAATATGTTTTGACTAATATGTGATGATAAAAATCTTGCCTGGAAACCGCCTACTAATTGATATATTTGATAAGTTATTACATCTATCCGGACTGGACAGATATCCCGTAGTCCCATATACATCTTTCTGTGTACAGTGCTTGTAACTTTACCAAGACTGGGCCAAATTTCTGATCATTTTGATGATTCCAGTACTTTCTGATTGATTCCACAACGTTTCTTTCACAATGCAATTGCATGACTAGAACTGGTCTATACCTTTAAAGGTCACTACCCAGACATAAATAATCTTATCTGAATAATACATGTCTGAACAAACCCAAGTACACACACATATATGGAGATGATGAATGATTTTAATGATAATGGTCTTCTAAAAGAGCTAGCAGTCGCAATA